TATTTCTATTTTTATACGTTCATTATTCTGTTCTGCTTCCATCAATTTTTCTATTTCAGGGTTCATGCCTTGAAAACTTACTCTTCCATCAATTAACTTCTCACAGAAGATGTAACTAGGTTCAATGATAAATCTTTCTCTTAAATAAAAAATAAATATACAGTTTTAATTTTTGAATCATGTCATAAAATACGTGTTACTTTTATTTGAATAAGATATTCAAATTTTCTAATATTTAGTTCTAATAAGTAAATTTAAAAATTGAAATTAAAAAACACTTACGATTCTTTCTTCATACGTTTCGTCAATTCATTTCCAAAATATTCTTCACCTTCTTCTTGAAATTGTTGTCTTTCCACTTTTTCTTTGGTTCGTTTCATAAACTATTGAATAAATATTTAACAAAATACAAACTTTCATACACAAATTTCTTTAATATTATAAAATATAAAATTTCGATTTTTTTTTACTTACTTTCATTTCTAAGATACTTTTCGATAACTTTGATTTGTTAGCACTCATTTTTTTTATTTTAAAATAAAAATATTAAAATAAAATTATTTTTGAGACTTAGGTTATATTTACGTGACAACGTGGGTGACAATGTTTGCTGAAACGGTAAACTTACAAGGAGAGTGTAAGTCCTTCGGGTCACCGATTTAGTTGAAACATTGCAGGTTTGTAGATATCGTCATGTTGTTTAAGAAAATATGCCATTATAGCCGCAACTATTTAATAATTTTTGTGATATTTATGATTAAAGTTTTATTACTACTGCAACAACAGATTTATTTCCGATAGTTTCAAAGTGTAGTTACGGCGTAGCAGTGACGGTCGAGAATCCTATGCGGGTGGACCAGGGTTCGATTCCCGTCCGCATAGTTTAGTAGTTTTTTCAGTCTATTTTTTATTTTGTATTCACTTTTGGCCTATGAAAACATTGTAAATAAAGAATTGTAAATAAAATTTCTTAATGCACGTGATAGACAAGGACAGTAAGCGGATAGAAAAGGATAGAAAATCAACAAATTACTCAATTTCTAGGATCAATTTATGAACTTTTATAAATGCATCGTAAAGCTCGAATTATTGGCAACATTCTTATGTAAAATTCGATTACAATTTGTTGCTAATTAGCTTGGTATTAATAATTATTTTATGGCGTTCATGATTTCGTAACATTGGCCGGGATAATCTTTCGAGAAAATATTAAATAATGAATAAATCTAGAAATAAAATGTGAACAAAAATTATATGAGAGGATGCCCAAGGATATTCTCTTCATTCTGTGTTCATCCAATTCATAAAGTAATTGCCTAAAAGATAGCAATTAATGAAAAACCAATGACGTCTTCGACAACAATTCAAACACTCGGTAGAATAATAATTAATAATTATTTAATTAGGGACAAATTTATATCAAAAGTTATATTAGAAAGTTCGCCAAGGCTGCGCCTTTACGATGAAATTATAAAAGTTCATAAATTAACCACACAAATTGAGTAACTTGTTAATTTTCTGATACCGAATGAAAATTCAAACGCAACAAAGGTTCAAGGTTCGAGTCCAAACTCATAGATGGCGCTGATCATTGACACTTGAATTTGAATCGGTAACTAACTTTGGTTATATGCTGCCGATACATGTTATTATTGGACTGCAATTGTGTAATGGATATTTTCGACTGTAAACGGCGAATTAATCTATAACTGGAAAGAAAGACATGAGATTGTGGTAACGATGAAAACAAAAGGAGACCTCGGGTGAGTAATGTAAGGTGGAATGTGTGTGGGTTGTGCATGTTTTAAGTAAAAAAATAAATCAACAGGTTATGAACTGCCAACCGAACGTAGGCCAGGTGTTTGAGTGCGGAAAACAAAATCCGAGAAAGAAATTGGAAGTATCAATGCATGAAAGAATCAAGATGGATATCATATTTGAAAATTTACAGTGGTCTTCACGCTATGGTTTTAAGGTTTGTATTGACATATAATGAAAGAACTAAGAAATGTAGGAAACTGCGAACAAGATTGGTTAACAATGTGTAATTACAAAATATGATAGTTTCAATCGTAGGGAAGGTATTATTACTTGATACCCTGTACGTCAAGTTATGAGACATGGACAAAATTAAGCAATATCTATGAGAAGGATACAAAACAGCAAAACATGAT